ATCCCCTGAAGCTGCCCTGCCCCTGGGGTGGCAGCCCCCACACTTTAGGCCAAGAGGCCTATGTTTGTCTGCTGTCTGCCTGAGTTAAGATGTGAGGCGATAAACTGTGTGGTGCTCTGCCCTGCCTGGGGCCAGGGCTCCAGACTATGGGCTGCTTGACCCTGCCTAGAGGGCCAGGGCCTCGGCCTCAGAGATTGCTAATTCCCCAGCAACCCTTGCCTTGATAGGGGCATGAGAGCAAGGGGGCGTGGCCTCCCTCTGAGACTGATGGGGAGAGGAGGCCACAACCTCCTACAGAGGTAATGGTCCCTGTGACATTATGGGGTTCAACGTAGACCAGTAAGGGATTGTATCATCGTGCCTTCCCAAAGGTCATTCTCCTTCCTTCCCTTCCTGTTGACTTCCCATCCCCCTGCTGATCCGTGTGTAAATGGAGCTTCCAGTGTTTTGAGTCCATAGTGCTTAATTTACTTTGGAGACAAGTAGATAGTGGCCTTCCCTCCTGTCGGGGAGAGAACCCGTTTCTCCTTATGTTTGGTCACAGACTTCAAAACATACCTCCACTAAGTATTCATATTTCCTTTTATGTAAACGTGCCTTCATTTGTCTCTGCCTGAGGACCAGGCTGGTCAGACAAACAAATACACATTCCTTTGCCTAAAGCAATGTTATGCATTGCTTGCTGAACATAATTCTAGCACATATTTATAATCCTGGGCACGCACCCTGTACATACACCACACAATGATTTGGGAGCTAGCGTTTTACCAGTTTGTATCTGATGCCTTACGTGGCACCTTTTAGATACGGATTATGACAACAGGGTGTTAGGTGTAATGAGCATGTCAGACCTGACGAGTTCCTGACACAGCATAGTGAATCCTCAATGGGCCTCTGTCTCACAGTCCCACTTTACTTTGCATTGGTGAGACCTCAGCTAGGGCACTGTGTCCAATTCTGAGGGCCACACGTTAGGACAGATTGGACAGTCCACAGGAGAGTAACAAAAATGATCAAAGTTTTCCAAAACCTGACCTATGAGGAAAAGGTCAAAAACTGGGCATGTTTAGTCTTGAGAAAAAAAGACTGAGGGGGGAACCAGATACGTTTTCAGATGTGCTAAGGACTGTTATAAGAAGGACGGGGCTCAGTTCTCCATGTCCACTGAAAGTAGGGCAAGAAGCAATGGGCTTAATCTACAGTAAGGGAAAGATGGGTTAGATATTCGGAAAAACTTTCTAACTATAAGGACAGTTAAGCTCTGGAATAGGTGTTCAGGGGAGGCTGTGGAATCCCCGTCATTGGAGGTGATTAAGAGCAGGTTGGACAAACCTGTCAGGGATGGTTCTAGGGTTACTTGGTCCTGCCTCAGCACAGGGCGCTGGACTAGATTACCTCCTGAGGTCCCTTCCAGCCCTGCATTTCTATGTTCCGAGCAATGCTTCCCCCCCCCCCCACTCTGAACTGGCTGGGACATCTACTCAAGAAGATCTCTTCCTGTCACTAGTGCTACAGACGCCACCTCTGGCAGTCCTCTTGTGAATAATAGGTGCTGTTGCACATGGAGATGGGAGTGTAATGAGTTAGCATGTGTCTATGCTGTGCCACCTCCTGTACCGTGTTCTTATAAGGGCTCCCCAGGGTAGGTGAATTCTTCCAGGGGAGGGCCCCCAGAAATGTCTGGGTGCTTGAGGTAGTTTTCATGATGCTGTGGGGGTGTATCCTTCTTCCCGGCAAAGCGGTAAGGAGTCCTACACCGCCAGTGCCCGCACCACCCTGGTAAAGTGCCAGTGACCACAAGCAATGAGGACCTTGGTTAAAAGGCAGCACTGACGCAGGATGAAGAGCGCTCTGCAGCATTACTATCATTTCCTGGCTGTAAATAAATATAAATAAATAAAATAAATAAATGAAGACTTTGTTGACGGGATTACGTTATCGCTGGCTGCAAATATTAAAAAATCATGAATCTGGAACCAAAAAAATCATGACTAGCTTAAAAAATAAATGTTAGGGTATTTTTATGTGCCCTCTAGTTTCTGAGCCTTTTAGGTCACACTCAGGTCAAGCTTCAAGCTTTTGTCCACAACCCCTGAGATCTAGAAACTCCACTATTTTTTTAATGACGGTTCAGATCCTATTGTGATTCCAGGAATTGGGGCTTTACATAAAAAGCCAAATAGTGCAAGACTTGTGATTAAACCCATGAGCGTTGGCAGCCCTGGGCCAATAGATTGGCTGAAAACAACTTCCACTTTGGAAGGTCTGGGGGACCTTTAAGGTGCATCCGATGAAGCTTGTGACTCCACCTCTGCTTCCAGTTCTGGGCCCATTTAAAACTAGAATGAGCAAAGATAGTGGAAGATAGAAAGCAGGGCGCAATCGTGTGTTGGCCAGGGGGGTGGACTTGATGGGACCTACCAGACCTTTGGACTCTTGTTTTCAGCCTAAGAGGAAGAGATCTTTCTGAATCGGGCCTGTAGGCCCCTGTGCCCCCAATCTTTCTCTGACGGAGTGAATCTTCAGGTTCGCTTCATGATTTCTGCACCTGTTGGACGGTACAGCCTCCCTACAAACAATAATCCTTCCTGTGTGCTTAGAGTTCTTCTGTAGGTCACAAAGGCCAGTTCATTATTTGACAGATGGGGAAACACAGGCATGGGAAAGGGAACGTGATTGGCCTACGGTCACACAGCACATCCGTGAAAGAGCTGGGATGGAACTCAGGTGTTCTAACTCCTACCCTTGTGCCCTCGCCGCAGGACCTGCCCCCATGAGAACTGTTATTTAATTCAGCTCACTGCTATTCTGTGCTAGTAGCTTCTCTGTCCGGATTTAGAGGGACGCAAGGAGCAGAAAGGGCTGGTTTGCATTGCGGGAGGTGTGACCGTCTGAAGGTGCTGAGAGCAGCTCCATAATTTAAGGCTGCACCAAGCAGGTTACTTTCGTGGAACCTTATCTCTGCCCCTCATTTTTGTTTGTATATAAAATTATAGCGGTTGCAGGGCCTTAGGCAGTCTCAGAACCTGTTCTGTGAAACTGACAAGGAACCATTTGCTGGGAACCGGGAGGTTATTTGGAAGACTTTGCGGATCACATTCTTCCCAGTGTCTGGGACAAGCTGGTACAAGTTAACTCTGGAGAACATAGGGAGGGGAGCTGTGTGAACTCCCACTGACTGAACTGCTCTTTGCCTTGCAGCTTTAACCCTTGCTGTGCCACAGGACTCAAACCCCAGCTTGTTACTGGCAGATGCTTTTTGAGTGCCACTTAAAATGCACGCGCTCTTCTTGTAAAGAGTTAAGACATGGCCTTGTACATCTTCCCAGGCATATCTGGCTCTTCTTCCCTTCCTGGCCAATACCCGTTCTCTGAAGCCCCCCGATTTCACTCGTTTCGCCTCGTGAGAAATTCTGTCCCCAGTGAAGGCCACGGCAAAACCCCTATTGACTTCAGTGGGGCCAGGATTCCATCCCTGGGCTCTCCCTTCCATCTCTTTACTGGGGGGATAGGATTGGCTGGGGGAGATTCTGGGTCTCCCTTCCTTACGTTGCTGAGAATGAATTGGAAACCTGAAAAGCAGCCAGTCTGTTTCCTGCTGTCCCCTGGCGCTCCTGGAACAATGGGGGTGCAGCATGTCTGACTGCCTGCTTCTGAGTCCTTGGAGAATCTCTCCCCAGACACATCGCCTGGGCTGATAATGCCCCATGTTCAATAGCTCAGAACTGGGAGCAACCGTGGACATGGCTTCCAGATACTGAGACAAAGGGGTTTCATCCCCCAGAGTCTTGGGTTGAATTCCTACATCCTGCCTCCCCAAACACCTCCTGCAGGAGCTTAGAGGTGACCCGCTGTCCCCTATTTTAAGGGCTCACCCCTTATTCTATTGATTTGTAATGAGCTGGACGTGTTCTCTACTATCTGTCCATAACTGTTTTATGCAGCACTGATGTATTCTTCCCCAGAGGTAACTGCATTTCAGGGCTGGGCAAAGCAATGTACAGTCTATAACCCGTTTATGAGCACCCGTGGCTCTTTGGGTGGCTGGGTTTCTATAAATGTCTGATTATTATTATTTATTAATTTATTTATTATAGGTACACTTCAGTGTCAGTGAAGTCATGAGGACCCCAGTGCTCGTGTGAAATTGAGGTAGGTGGGGGAAAGGGGACTGCTCTTTGGACACACAAGCATTTCAGATCAGAGAGTTTATTAATAATTCCGAGGGCTTTTCATCTATGGATCACAAAGTGCTTTACCATTGTCCCCATTTTACAGATGGAGAGACTGAGGCACAGTGCAGGGACGTGACTCACCCACAGTCACTGGCAAAGCAGGGCATAGGCCCTAGGTCTCCTGACTCCCAGTGCAGTGCCCAGTCCACTGCGTGGCCAGGATTTTCATGTCTCTGTATGCAGGGGTGTGAATGGCTACGCGGCAGGAGGGGGTGGAAGACAGCATATAGGATGGTGTGTTAGGGAGTGGGGTGAAACGTGTAGGCATCTACTCGGTGTATTGAATGGGGAGGAGAGTAACACAGTTGTTCTGTAGAGTGGGAGGGGTGGATGGCACAGATGGGGTTCAGTGACAGATTTTGTATAGAGATGTTGATAGGGTTTGGGTGCTTATTTGGGAGAGACGAGGCATCTTCCCATGTCCTGTAATTCACCCGTCCAACCCAGGCAGGTTCGCATTTGTTTCCCTATAGGAGGCAGTTGTGATTTTGGGGGTGTCTATGCAGAACAGAATCCTTAGCCTGCAGAGCCAGATAGTCAGGGGTTAAAGCCACTTTTACCATAAGGCTAAAATTCCCCGCTGGAAATTCCCAGCTGACCAACAGGGTCAAGAGCCTACTATCCGAGGGCTGGGGCTTACTATCGGGGGCGGTTCCTATTTAAGTCTTAAAGAGGTGCGTGAGGATGGGACTTCTAGGCAGAAAGAGATCGGCCCCAGGCAGAGTCCATCCAGCTGGCTGGTGGGAAAGAAACAGCTGCCTGCAGATCCCTGTCACAGAGAAGAGATTAGCTGGAGTGAAAACATTTCCCTGTAGCCACAGCAATGGAGCCAACTCCTCTCCTCCTGCTCCTCAGCCTGGGCTGGACTTGCAGCGGTAAGTTCCCTGGAGACCACAGCAGATCAGAGGTTCTCTCTGGGCTGGAGGGATTGGGGGTTCCCGGCCTTCGCGAAGGGCTGAGCTATTCTTTTCAGCTATTTCTCCGTGCTGGTCCTGGGTGCTGCTTTGAAGTTTTCCCTCTTCGCTGTACGCTACACAACTGCTCTGCCAATGGCATCCCCTGCAGCTCTGCTGCCTAGTGCTTCGGGGTGAGCAGCTGCGGCTCCAGCCAGATGTGATCTGTGTCGAGGGCTCCCAGCGATGCTCTGTGCCCGGTTTGGATTGGCTGTGCTAGCCTCGGGGTGCTCAGGAGGGGACTCTGTTAACAGAGCTGTCTCCATCCTTGGATACACATGGGTCTGTGTTTTGTTCTGTGGTTATACAGTGCCTGACACAGTGGGGTCCTGGTTTGTGACCGGGGTCCTGGGCACTCCGGTAATATAAACAATAATCCCACTTTCTTTCTGACGCACCCTCTCCGCGAATCTCCACTGCGCGTGGATCTTTGAGCTTGGAGAAAAATAAATCAGTGACTTAAACATTGTGAAAACTGGTTCAGAAAGGGAGGGAAAAAACACATCACTTTGTCCCCCGGACTTTGGCTCCGTCTTGAATGAAATTAATAGGGTTATAAAATGTCGACACATCTGAATCTCAGAGAACATTTATTTTAGCTCTTAGAACAATACAAATAGCCCAGAGCCTAATTTTTACATCCGCGGATGTGTATTGGCCCATAGACAGGTCTACGCAGCATCAGTGGCATGAGACGTGAGCATACTGGGCTGCCAAGCGCTCTCGAAAAGAAATCCTCTCGTAACGGTGCCAACGGCTACAAGAGTGTCACTGCCACATTCGGGGCTAGTGCTGGCGTACTTTTAGAAAGACGGAATGAGATGGCTCTATTGCACAGCTTTACTTTGGAGACAATCCTTCATCCAAACAGCATCCCAGAGTGCTGTAGAGCAGGGGTGCTCATATGGACCACATTGTAATAGACACCCGGTCTCATGGACCCTCTTCCTTCCCCTGTGCCATTGCCTGCACCGCCCCTCCCATTCATGATCACCTGCAGTCCTGCCTCCCCCCTGTTCTTCATCTAGTTGGCACAGGGACACTGCACAATTACCTGCATCGAAAGTGAATGTTAGGAAAGCACTTAGGAGCTCACTTAGGGTGCTGAGTACCCACCCCCTTCAACTGAAGTTGGGGAGCTGCCGGCTCTCAGCACCTCTAACCATCATGCCCTTGGGGGTATTTTAGCTGACTTGTGATGCCATCTAGCAGCTGGAAATCAGACCCACATAACCAGCAGCAAGTGCTCCGCAGAGTCCCAGTCCTGCACGGAAAGCAATTTGGGAACTGCCTTTGCAGAGAGTTAGTTAAAGCCAGATCCTCAATGGCTGTAAATCACTGTCGCTCCATTGGCTTCAATGCGTTGGCTCAATTTACTCCAGCGGAGGGTCTGGCCCAGATAGTACAAGAGTTGATAGCCTGCTGGGAAAAATGGGAAACTATTTTGTTTTGTTCACTGGGCCACTCCAGTGAGTCATTAAAAAGCAAGCTGCTGCCCTCTTGGTCGTTGCGCAGACACTACAGATCTTTGGGTCGTTTTCAGAACAGTGGAGGTTTGTCCTTTGTCAAAATTTCCGCGCTGTTTGCTGTGCACCCCAGAGGTGGCTGCATTTCAGTAGTGTTGTTGGCAGGGCACCTTGAGATGAAAGTCTCTAGTGAGATGTACAAATTCAATCCAAGTCACTCAAGCAAGCTTCCGTTTCTGTAGGTATACCTCTGCATTCTCGCCTTTCATATTTGCAGTGGTTTTGTAACAAAAAACATTTTAAATGCATGTGTCATTTTCTTACTTTGACAAACCAAAGCTAAAAATAATCTGGATTGAATTAAAATCAAGTATTTAGTGCTTTGTCTTTAAACACAGTAACCAGAATGTGGGATTTGTATGGCTCCCGTCTGATTGGCAGCCTGTTCCTACTTTCTGCTGGCTGCCTGGCTCCCAGGAGAGCAGCGCCAGCAGCAGCAGGGGGTTAACCAGTGGAGGATGACGGGTGTTCGGGCTTATTTTTTAATAACCACTTGTAAAATCTTTGTGGGAAGCAGAGACTCGGATTAAGTTAAACCGAGGCTGTGTTGCAGGGAGAATCTCATCCCATGGAAATGTCTGCAGTTAAATAACATTCCTTCCACAGTAGCGGCATCTTTCCTCCCTGAAGGAGCCCGTGGATCAGCACTGAAGTGGAAGAAACCTTCCACTGCATTGCATGACAGTTGTGGGGAGGGGGAATTGGAGCCAACAACCCAGGAACAAACACTCGCTCTTCTGGAAAGTCTGAGGGAATGTTTGAATGTTTGCGTGCAGTTTTGTTTTTGAGGTCACGACACAAAGAGGGGAAGTTTGAGGGGAAGTGGAGTGAAAGGGAGAAACCCTGCCTCTTTTTCCCATGATCTTCAAATTACCCTTAACTTCACCGGGGCCAGAATTTCGCCTATGTTACATCTGCAGTGTTACCGACCCCTCCCATTTTATTGCAAGTCATGTGATATTTGGTGTTTTTTAAAAAGCCCCAGCTCTAGGAGTCCTGTGATTATGGGAGCATCTCAGCTTTAAAAACAAAACAAAAAAAAGTTGCTAACCCTCTTGATTGTGGAGGTGACCTGAGTGCACCCTAGCGGCTCAGAAACCAGAGCACTGAACCCAAAATCTCACCATGTCTGTGCTGCCCTTTCCATTGGGAACAGCTGCCTTAGCTAACGCTCGGTATTTACTGCTCTTCTCCGAATGACCCTTGTTTTCTCCACTTGCTGCTTTCCCCCTTCCCTCCACTCCACCCAGGCCGGCTGACCGTGCTGCCCCAGGAACCGCTAGTCCAGATTGGAGGATCCATTCAGTTGAACTGCTCCTTGGACTGTCCGGATGGGACGCCCCAGTGGAAGGGGCTGGACACCAACCTGGGGAACATCATCTCCACCCCCACCTATAGCCTCCTGCTCATCACCAATGCTGCCGTAGCCATGGAGGGCACGAAGTTCTGCGTGGGGAACTGCCAAGGGAAGTCCCACCAGGGGTCGACCAACCTGCAAGTGTACTGTAAGTGCCCTAGGTTGATGCAGTTACCCACTAGATGCATGACGGTCTAGACTCCAAACACATTGTAGCCCAAAGGGGACACAGTCAGATTGAAACTAGAGGTTTTACGGTCACATTGGCCTGGTGTTTTTCTGACCCAGGCAAACAGGAGGGACTGACCGACCGTGCTGGGGAACCAGCCAAGCTGACCCTGCACAAAAAGTGCTGCCAAATCACAAAGACTTCAGAATGAAAGAAAATCACTTCCCCGCTCATCCCTTTCAGTTAGTGCTGCCTCCGGAGCTACTCGCAACAAACCTCAGATAAGGGGCACTTGAATGACTGTGTCCATCTGGGGGCCTGATCCTATATCAGCTGCAATCTCCCACCCTCCCTGCTTCACAGAATCCAGCTAACCTTGGAACTGCCACACTAGAACAGCCCAATGTTCCATCTCAGCTGGTATCCTGACACTGACCAAGGCAGAATGTTTAGAGGAAGGTATCAAGCCTTCATAACACGACTCATTATGCCATCCTGTACCTTAGGATTCTTCCTAGCCCAGCTGATGAGCAGTTTATGTCCAGAAGCATGAGGATTGATCACTAAAATGCAGCCCCTTCTGGGGTGGAGGATGGCCACAAACCAGGGCAAGAGAGCAGTTAAGATCAGGAGGCCTGGTTCTCAGAG